CGTTTCAAAAGTACCGGTTTGGTACTGGTATCGGATAAAACCTAAACGATACCCATCCCTATAAATACCATAAGTCAGACATTTGTAATGATTATAAGACTGTTTAGCTTGTCAAATTGAAACTTTAACTGCAAGAGCAAACACTAAAAACACTGAATCTTCTACACTTGTAGTACACTGTTTGAGTGAGGTAGTTTTTGTTGGGCCCCAGAAACACTCCACAGCTCCCCTTTCAGCTTTCTCTGCAGTACCATACACTGAAAGCTTCTGATGCCAAAGTTACATGACAACAGGTACCTTTTCAAGCCAACTGTGGTCAAAATGAAAATGTAATTTGCTGACAGTGACACGCTTCTTTTCAAACCTAAAAGATCAGGTTGAGCGTCGTGGTATAGACAGAAGTGTTAGAAATCAATATTTGTTCTAAAGTTAGAGAGGAGGGTGAAAGTGCTCAGCAGTGTGCATTTCAACAAGAAAGCCATAATGTTCTTTGTCTGTCTTTCCTCACTGCTGTCCGCAAGTGAAACGAGCGAGGGAAAGATCCCAAGCATTGTTTGGCAGTTCAAATGAGAGCAGCTTGGAGAGGTATTTGATTTCACAATGTTTAAGAAGAAAAATGTGTGGTGGGATTGTGTTTGAACGGTCCCCAGGGCCGAGTGGTTGGCCGGGGAAGGGGGCCTCGTTGGAGTGAAGAGACTTAACAAGAGTGTTTCTGTGATACCTGCACGTTTAAAGGACGTGAACGTTACTGATTAATTCACCTTCAACGTCTTTTCCTGCCACTTTCATTCATATTAATTTATTTATGATGCATGAAATCAAAGACTTCACTGGCGTCATCGTAGGTGACCTTATACTGAGATAATTGTTTGGTGTGACAAGGGACAGTCAGTCAGCTCTGTGGCTTTGGCTTACCATTTTGGGACTGTATTGCATCTTTAGCTCAGTGAGGAGATCTTCTGGGTCAGATACAGGATCCCCCCACTGGGCCCACCACAAAATCGAGAGCTGCTCATTGTGAAGGCCTGTTTGTCTTGGTGAAAGAAACACAAATGTCTTTACAAAAGAATCTCTTGTCAAAATGAAATATATCCATGTGGGCATTTGTAGCTACAGCCAACACAAACATAATATCCTCTGTTAACATTCAGCCCCCCTTTTGTGCTATCATCTGAAGGTTAATTACTCATTTATTACCTTAGTATCTTTCTTAGCCCTTTTTCTGCATTGCTTTTTTGACTTTTCCCTCTGTTGTGAGTCTTTCCTGTCTCTGTTTTCGTCTTTTTGGGCCTTCAGCCCTTTTTTTCCCATTTGAATTTCAAGCTGTTCATCGGACAGATTAGATCCACACCCTTGTTTTATAGGTCTGTGAGCTCACCCTTGTTGTGAGAGTAGCCAGTGTTCTGTAAACGGTCCCGTGATCTGCAGCACGTTGGATCAGAATGCCATCCAACCATCGTGAGGGCCCGATTATTCAGACCTGCTCAGACAGGCTCACAAAAACAGGTCACTGCACCTGAACATTGCTCCAAATGTTGGCTTTGTGAGTGTGTGTCTTTGTATGTGTGCATTTGTGATAGAAAGAGAGGAGAAAAAAAGTAGTTTGGTACCCGAGCAAAACCAAAAAAAGAATAAAACAAAATTAAGCGTTACATCAGCCACCCAGAGTTGTAAAATTAGCAAATGGAACGATGAGCTCACTCACACTGTCCCTGTGATTTTTAAACACTTACAACGCAACACAGTATTTTTACGCTTATGTCAGTCATCAAGAATGTATACTTGTGGTTTAATTAAATCAAATGATCGAAATAGTTTATCTCCCAATGCAGTTTATTCTTGATTTTTGTTTATGTAAAATGTCCACTGGGAGTAGAAATGAGTAACTGGGACATAAGAACAATGGGGGCCTGTCAAAATAGTGACTTTTATATTTTGCTTCCAAGGTGCCAGACTTATTTGTAGTTTTATAGTGGTTTTGAGCAAAGGTTCTTCAAGTTTTCTGAACGTATTTCAAAGTTTTTCTTTTGACATTGGCAGCTTTTTCACTCTGAGAGAGGGAGAAACTTAAATTGTGTGCTCCAGCTACAGGGGAGGTCATACTGTTCAGCCTCCCTAAAAAGGTCTATGCCAAAGTCCTGGAAAGGAGCGCTCATCTGTTAGTCGAATCTTAGATTCAGGAGGAACACGCTGGACCACCTCTTTATCCTCTTCGAGTGTGTGGGTGGCTCGAGACTTTTGCATAGTATTGTATGTGGAAGTAATAAACTGAAACAAAAATAAAATTTAGACTTTATTCTGGAAATTTATTTCATTTGGATATTTAGTTAAAAGAGTAAGGAGGATTCAGTGCAGTTTATTACGACTTGGATGCCTTTGTGACGGTGACTGAATAACCAACATAAACATAAAGGGTCCTGAACTTGTTGAGTTTTGTCTCATATCTATATTAAAATGATAAAAATACTAAAAACAAATATTAGTAAAAAACACATAAAAATCTGCAGTAAATAAACAAAAAAATCCAAAGGTAAGACAGACTGTAAATATTATACAATATTATATTATATTGTATTATATTATAGTGATGGAGTATCCATTACTTCCCATTGTACCATTGAAAAAATTACCCTTAAAACAATACAGTCAAACATATAGTCAGTGTGATCTGTACTTTATTATAAACAGTATTCTCCTTGAAGTACAAATTTCTATTATTCTCTAAATAAAATACATTTCTAAGATGATGTGCTCTACAATGTTCATTCAGCAGTATAATGCATCATAAAACAATATCATTCATTCACAATAAATCAGCAGTCCAATGTAATACAAATCAGTTTAACAAACGTAATCGTTATCACCTTCTTCTAATTCAGGAGAATAATGCAAACTAAAACTACATAATAGCTTCACAATCCTTAATTAGGGGCATAACATGACATAAGATAATATTATCTTCACATTATCTCACACTGTGTAATTTATATAGATATATTGATTATATTGTCCATATTAGCAAGTTTCTTATCAAAGAGATGACTTTGTTTTCTATGCATTTAAATAATATGAAATTTAGCGTTAACTAAAGGATTCTAATGTAACAGTTGAACTGTAAGTTACCTGTCATATCTTAAATTTTTTTGTAAATCTCCTGTTTACACAAATGCTCATTAGAAAAGAAAACGTAAGAACCAGCACATCTTGCAGTAATCACGATTACAGATTAGCGTGGGTGTTGTAATGCTAACTCAGCTACCCTCCATATGACCCTTGCCTTGAAGGCAACAGCTATGCTCTTGCTAAAGCTTATTAGCTTTATAGTTGCCAGTTAGATATAGAATTTAGTTGAGTTTAGTTTAGTATTTACTCTTTGTGTAATGTTTAAATTTGATTATTATACTTTTTCAAAGCACTCTATATGTCCTATCATTAGCCATTTTATGTTCACCACACATTAAAATTTCTTAGTTTCATTTAAAACAAAGAAAATGACTACTTCTTGAAAAGTGTGAAGTAATTGTTTGGTGTTTGGAAGTAATTTATTCTGGAAATATAAGCCTCTGCTAAAGAGTTAAACAGCATTTAATGAAGTCTTGGATTTTTGGCTAAGCTAAACTAACAGGTTAATTGTGGTGGCTTCATATATGGCATGCAAAATGGTATTGATATTTAAATTTCACTTCCAGCAAGAAAATATGTTTTCCAAACATGTCCAATGATTCCTATGACGAACATCCTTAACAAGCCAGTGGTCACTTCTTGGTATGGTCATTAAAAATAATAAAACCAACAAGGTTCAAAAAACTGCATTCCACCGACTAAGCACTTTTTTTATGTGTTTGCGTGCCGTGTCACAGGCTCTCGGAGACGCCGACTTCCCTGCTGTGCTGAGGCAGCTGCTGCCTTTGATGAAGCCCCGTGGAGTCGAGGACACCTCGGCCTCAGGGTCGAGGCTCAGGGAGGACGAGTTGGGTCCCGATGAGCTGATCCTCCTGCTGGTCTATCTCTACTCCCTGGCTGATGAGACCCAGCCTGCAGATCATGATACAGAGGAGGAGGAGGAGCTGGAGAAGCTGGAGAGGGACCTGATAGGAGCGCTCACCCTAGTCATCATCAGTCGAGAAACAGAACTCAGCCCATTGCTTCAGAAACTGACTGGTGAGAGAAAGTTATTGCCATCGCGGTTGTTCAGTTTTGCAGACGCGCTGTAGGAAAATGAGAGCAAATGGTTTGTTTATTGCCGCCCCAGTTCTTGGAATAGGGGTAATTTTATCATTGTCTTGACACTTCATCCTTTTCTCGTGTCACACACTATAGTGCACACACACCTACACGCATTTTCTAGTCAGTTGGCCAAGTGGCTGTGGGAACTTTGTATATTTGGATAGGTGTGAGAGAGAAATTACTTCTACCTTTAACCCCTACAGCTTCCCGTTCCACATTATTAAGATTTACCTGTAATGTGTGCATCTATGGGAGTCCGTGAGAGTATATTGATTTCTGAGTTTCTCTGTACTTTACCAGACATTTCACTGGTTTAGCTGAGCATGTAACCATGTGGCAGAGAAGATCAAGGCCAGCTAATAAGATGAATTAACAGTCTTCCTCCACACCACAGCCGACTGTACCTCCCAGAGTAATGGCGTCTTTAACCTTGAGCCTCTCCTCCCCTACCACATAGTTCATAATTAGCGCTGCTTTTAGTTTTGGCTGTACCTTAGCACACGCCCTGAAATATTACACTGGGATTGGGGTTTTCATCTTATATGGCACACGGGGTCATATGGTGTACATATAGGGTTGGTAAATCTATGTAAAGCAGTAATAAAGATTAGTGACACATCTTTTGTATTTTTACTCTTTCTCTCTCTCTTTCCCTTTTTATGCTCGGTCTCTCTCTCTTCCTGTTCTACTTGGCCAATGCAGTTTAGAGGCGAGGGGCCTCTTGGCAGGCACAGGCTGTGAGATGTGGCTCATGTTAAAAACCTGACTCTCTGTTATAAACACTTCATTGCAAATTAGCCTGTCATGGTGTGCCAGGTGTGCTTTAGACAGAAAAAAAACAATGTGTGTACGCGCTCACATTGCGCACGTCTCGCCCATTCAGTGTAATTTGGCAGTGTGTGCACGCTTTTAAATTTGAGTGTGAGTGTGTGTGTGTGTGTGTGCATGCACGAATGTCTGTGAGAAAGGCTTTATGGCAGTCGATGAAGTGCTTGGCTGGGGTAACATGAGTCGGGAGGTCGTCTCTTTCAGCATCCAGAGCAAAACATTGATTGTGACATTCTCCCCAATTAAAGGACTCAAATGAAAACCAGACATTCAAAGAAACCTGGTCGCCATGAGAACAATGTTTTTACAAATTCTTTTATTTTGTTCCCCTTGGCTACAGTACACAGCCAGAGCTTAGCTAACACGATGCAGATACACAGAAACACACAGTGCATGCACAAACATAGTGCAGAAACACAAGAATAATATACACAAGCCAGCATGCCAGTAAAAGGGAGTAAGAAATAAGGACAAATAAGTTTGTGATAGTAAGCAGCAACACACCCTAACCCTTCTAACTACCTCCTTCTGGGAACTTAATTAAAGAGCATCTTCAGGAAATGGTGTTCCTCGAGTGGAATTGTTTTCTGTTCGATGTTTGCTGCCAGCCCCCGTGGACTTTAGTTTTCATGAAACTCTTGTTAACTTTTAAATATATTCAGACAGCATGTGTGTGGCAAGGCTTAGTAAAGCCCCGTTTGAGTAATGTTTCTGTTAGGATAAGGTGGATGTTTGGTGTGTGGGGTTTTTTTTTTTATTAATGCTAATGGGGGTGGTAAAAACTTTCCCCCCATGACTTGAGTGAATTTCAACTCACAAATTTGCATCAGGGACAAATATCAAGCCTTGTAGACAGTGTTAACATTTGAAGAAATTGAGGGCTCGAGAGTCCACGGTGGAGTAAACAAGCTTCCAGACTTTATTCTTGTCTTTTTTGGGGGGGCGGGGCAGCGAGAGACTGTTCTACAGTAGCATATATATGTGTACCTTGAGAAAACTCGGCGTCTTTCAAACAAAAGGGAATTCTAAGCTTGCAGTTAAATCTTCTCATATTAGTCAGCATACATTATCATTTGCCACACTCATTTATTTAGTCCTTGGATAAATACTGAATGATTTTATAGATAAACTGTCAATGATAGATTTGGCATGTTTATATGTTACATCTGATTCTGCAAGGTGAGGTTTCATTCTTGACATGAAAAAGCATAAATATACTTTTTTTTCCCCATTTCTGGATATGAAATACGTTTTTCGTTTTTTTTTTTTTCACTGTTTTTTTTTTTTTTAAACTAGAACACGCTAGCTGTGAAAAAGCTGTTTCATCGGTTTTATTTAGCTTCATATGTTTGAGAATGATGCACTCCAAAAAAGGTGGTTTATCTAATTGTTGTCATCTAAGCAGATAAAGCTAGCCGGCCATAGGCAAGTAACCAGAACCATAATGCTAAAAACGACAGTATTTGTTCTTTATGCATACCAAAATTCTTCGTGAACTGACAGTGCTAGTGCTAGGCAGTACTGCCACGTTAGCTCCCACCCCCCCCAATCATTGATTAGAAAGGGAGTAAAAGTTAGATGAGCATTTCAACTTGTGAGATCAGCTGTTTTCCATTGGCTAAAACGTTTAATAATGTTATGTAAATGCTTAAGCTAAATTATACCATAGTAGTAATGTTTGAATGCTATTCAGGAACCACCCTAACATTTCAGTCCTGTCAACAAAATATAATCTTTTTTTTTTTTTAATCTTTTTAATTTTAGTGACACAGTAAGGTGAGGTCATGGGTTAAACTCAACTTTAAGGCCAGAAATCAAACGAACTAGCAGTGGGAGTCAAGACTACAGTTTACTGACATACTGTAGCAGTTTGTCAACACATTCAAGGGGTTCTTGCATAACTGGAGTCAGGAATGTCCTTTAGCAGCCAGCTCTGAATTATAATTGATGCACGATGAGCAAATTACTTTATTTGTGGACATCGTTTAGTGGGTGCCATATAAAATGAACAGAATATCTTCAGTAAGTCTTAAAAGTACTAACCATAAACTCATTGTGGGAAGTGCTTAATATGGTTATAGAGCAAAGAAGCCTTGTGTATAAACAGTTTTCTTGATTGAGGAATTGCAGGTTACCTTATTGGCTTCACTTGTCAGACCCAAAATTTATTTATGCTCACATTTTAATGTGTCATTTTAATAATGAGCACTGCAGCTGCAACAGTTGACCAAGAAGCCCATTAAGGTGTCACGGATTCACAAAGCTCTATGAACCAAAAATTAAAGAAATTAAAAACATTATTATTTTTTTAATTATTTTAATTGTGGTTACCCCATCAAAAATCCCAGAAAATGATTACCAACAATGTGTAATAATTTTTCACTTTTCCATTTAGTCTGTGACACTGAGACCCAAGTTCATATGTCCCAACCCTTTAAAAATAATTGGTTATGAAAATAATAATTTCATTTTGCCAGCGTTGTTTTTAGTAAAACTACTCAAATTAGAGTAAATACTATAATTTTCAGGAGCTATTTTAAGCAAAAGATTTGGCACACTACTAAATATTTATGGCAGCTGGACCATGAATATGGGGCTGGCTCAAAATAAACTGCAGTGTTAATGTTTGTGGTAGTGAGAGAACATGTTGGCCAGTGCAAGGGGATGATTTAAAGCCCTTGAAGACCTTTTAATAGATATAAATTAATATAATGGCTAGAATATCACCAGTAATTTGTTGTAGCAGCGCTTCTTTAAGTTGTAAATTTGGATTTGTGCAAAGAGCGATGCTTTGTTTTCATTGTTAGCATGTGTCTATATACTATAGACATATTGCAGTGTGTGTGCAGCATGTATTGTTGTATTAGGGTATGGATTTGATTAAAGAGCTGAACAGTATTCATCCAAGAAAATTGTTCCACTTATTCCAGACTGGGAAATGAGCTCTTAAACCAAATGCTCCGCAGCCAACACCACATCTGGAACGATCTGGATTGGTTGTAGGAAACGCAGCACACACAGAGCAAATGATGGGATTGGAGAAGCAGCCCAGTTTGTCCTGAAGTCTAGAATGTGATTGGCTGCTGGCAGACTGTAGTGTATGTGGATGTGGTGTGTGTGATGTGTGTAGGTTGTAAATAGCTCTGAGCATTTACTGTTAATCCCTCGTTCAGTTGTGGCACAAACTACATTTATGGTGGTAAGAGAGCAAAAAATTTGCATTACTTTGTGCTTTATGGATTTGTTTCCTGTCAGTCCTGGTAAATTTTGGTTTTCTTTGGTTCAGAATCAAACCTACTCCCTCTGTTTTTTCCCTCTTTTCTCTCAGCATCGGGGTGCAGAAGACAAAAAAAGAAATCGGGCCGATTCAAATGTTCTTAATTCCCTTTTGTATGACATCTAGCTGGCTACGGATGATGGATCGTAGTTTGTCTATACTTATGTCAGTGTGGGGGCGTACAGGGCGGGCAGTCCACAATTTGTGCTGATGCTTATGACTTACTCACTGCGATGACAGAAGAAGGAAAGAAAGTCACAGTATTCTAGGGAACTTCTTGGGAAAATCTTAACTGAAATGGTTACACGACATGTTCTTCTCTCTCACTCTGTTTCTCAGTCGCACATTTTGTTTGTTATTCATCCTGTCAGTGGGGTGTGCACAGGGTAAGGAAGAGGGGAGCAGTCGGAGACTCGGACCTCCCCAATGCTGCTGTTTGGGTTGGCACAGCAGCATGGGCCAGTCAAGGGACATGAAAGGGATCTCACATAACTCTGGCCACCAACACGCTCTGCCTACTTTTTAAACTTTACTTCTCTTTGTTTTTATATTTCCTTTTTCCATTTCTCCCCCTTTTCTCTCTTTTCTGCCTCCTTGCATCTCTCCTTTCTCTCTTCTCCTCCCTTAAGCACCTAGCTGGTTGCAGGGGGGAAGCGGAGCATAAGTTAGTCTAATGATTACGCCTGATTAAATATATTCCCCCTATTGCGCTATGTTTATGAAATTAGTCCCAATTATTTTTAATTGGTGGTCTCTCTTTACTTCCGCTACTGTTATACAAACACATATGCATACATATATGAGGTGAAAACCGTACGCCACAGGGTGA